AGTGAACCCCAGGATGTGATCTGCGGGTGAAGTAGTTTAAGGATCGCCTGCGCGGCCCTCTGTTTGCCCTCTCGTTTGTTGCGACAGTTGACAGACGCCGTGTGTTTTCCCACTTTCATTATGAACTCATTTTTCTGATGCTTCACTAGACGGACATCAGTTTCGATGTCTGTGTCACCCATTCCCCAATTCCTATGCAATATAACTCACTATTTAAACCGTTTATAAATACAACAAAAGACAATACCTTCGAAGGCATTCGACTAGAATCTGATAGGGAGAGTGTTGACCAGCTTTGGCGCAGAGATCACTCACTCGCGGGTCTTCAATAAGGATATCATTGAAAAACTAAAGAATAGAGCTATGAATGCAATGTACTGTTTGGCGACAATGCTGTGAACGTACGCTAAAATCTTGTAGAGTGGGATCAAGTTTACGATTCCCTTTGTCTGTAATCTCTTTGAGATCTGGAATTAGTATTTCAAGACTCGCTCTCGCTTTGGACCATAATTTAAATAATTAATCAATTATTTAATAGGCATTAAAATTAATTCAAAAGATCAATACCTGCTTCTGATTTTGCCTGCTTTTTACTGCTTCCGAAGCCCTTCCCGTACTCCATACCATTGATGATAACAGTGGCGCTGTAGGGCTGACTCGCGTTTTCTGCACCAATTGTCACATTAAGTTAAAAATAGCAATAATTTTGCCAAACATCAGAAGCCATTATAAATACCTAATTCTTGGAATGTATACTTCGGCTGAACTCGTTCCGCGTGCTGAACGAACTCATGAAGAATGCAGACAAACGACTTGCCCGCCGGGTTCATCACAAACTCTACTCCAAACACAACCATTCAATTAGGTGTCCGTCAAATCACAACATTCAATGCGAACCCTTTCGGTAATTCCTTCCAGCGGTCGACTCGCCATTGTTGGGCGTCTTCGGGAGGGGACAAGTGATGAGTTTAGTGCCGTCGGGAAGCGAAGGTCTTTGTTGTAATTTCCTGAGTTGTGTGTGTTTTCTACGGTCGGCCCACGTTCTGCACCCATAGATTGGCATTTAGTTATGTATTTAAAGGCAATAAATCGGACGTTAAGACTGACTTGAATTTGCGAATAGTTATCGTTTGAAATTCAAACAAATTTTGGCAATAGTTTCGGACAGACATGTAATCCAAAGATTTCTCTTTTTTGTTTTCGCTCACAGTTTCCACTTTCGCGAGTAAAGCGTTGCCTTCGAGTCAATGAATTATCTCATTAATGAAAACCCAATCAATGCATTCAATCAGAAATAGCTTACATTCACTAGAATTCGTGTCAGTCTTGAGCTCTTTGTTGCGCTCCTCTTCTTCCTTATCTTTTTCGAGTTCTTTCTTATATTGAAGACAAGGAATGGCAGAGATAGGGATCTCGTGTTTCTGTCGATTCAAACAATTAGTAAAATACTACACAATAAAATCCAATCAAACCATACTCTGGCAGATCCGGGACCTAAATAGTAGGGCTTAGTTGTGGTACAGACGCGGGTCTGTTTGTGCAGATATATAGGCATTCCACTGACCAGACATTCAAACATACATTTTTAAAACATTAATCGCAAGTCAACCAGAGATCAAGTCATACCTGAAGTGTGTCACCTCTAGCCAGCCCTCGGGAAGCACTTCGAAGTAGTCCTGATCTCTCTCTAAACACATGTCAAATAAATGGCTAAGAATTGAGTCAAATGTCAATTAGTATTACTTTTTAAGACAATTTTCTTCCTCTCCTCGTGCGGGGCATTGAGTTTGAGTTTCATTTCATCGAATTTCCGCTTTCGAGACATGCTTTCGTTGGATCCGCTGTTGACAGCCGGGCGCTGGTATGCGTCCATCCCTTCCTCCAACATATTGTCGATGTCATCGACCGGTATATCCGAATCGGAATCCATTGAATCCTCTTTATAATCGTCTTCTTCGTCATCGTCTTCGTCCTCCTCTTCCTCGGGAGGCATGTCTTCATCACTAGATATGTCTTCGTTGTCCTCAAGTTTGATATCCGAAGTAATCGGTGTCTCATTTGAATTACTGACTGAAACCTCATTATTGGATCGTCTTCGTCCTCCTCTTCCTCGGGAGGCATGTCTTCATCACTAGATATGTCTTCGTTGTCCTCAAGTTTGATATCCGAAGTAATCGGTGTCTCATTTGAATTACTGACTGAAACCTCATTATTGGAACAATGGTTGACACAGTTGTCTACCATCGCCTCGATTTGATCCACAGGTGACTGACTCGGACTCATAGAGGCGTTTATCACTTGATCCTTTGTGTCACTCATTGCCATCGACTCATCCATTACTGACTCTAATATTAATGATTTAATTATAATATAATAATGTATTTAAACGTTAATAATAGCAAAGAGTTGAATGAAAATGAGCTTAAATTACAAGTAAATTAAAAGTATTCATAATACAAAAGTAATTATTATTTTCAATAAAACTAATGATAATTGTTGTGCCAAATGATCACCACCGATGACTTTGAAGACCACTTAATGATCACCACAACTATGAAGTGTTTTAACTTTCAATCAATAGTTAGCCATAACTATAGCCAACCAAAGCTAAACCTTCCCATAGATTGTGGCGAAAAGGGTTTAAATGAATAGCAATTTAATTAAATAATTGCATTCACTTTGCAATCAAAACACAACACAACCACTGCTTTCACTGGCAATGCATTCAATGCACTAATGCTTCAAATGGGGACTCATTTTGCAGACAATTCTCGTTTCACCAAATGTTTGCATCACTTTGTGCTCGCAATTCAACATCATTTCAGTCTTTGTTGCATAAGACTTACCGGTATACAGGTATCGTACAAATTTAGTTCACTTTCACGATATAATTATTTTATTTATTTATATATTTTATAGATTTCAAAATACATTTATTTATTATTTATATAATAATTAGAAAATTATGTCATTTTATACAAAAGTGAACACTTTTGAACTGAACTCATAATAAATTTCGTGTCATTTAAGTGTATGAATAAATCGGTCTTTTATCACAGAATTATAGTCTAAATCATATATAATATATATTTCTTCATAAATATTAAACACAATTCTCGTAATAATAATAATAATAATAATAATTGAAACTAGAATTTTACTGTAAGACTAAAAGCGAAACAAATTATTTCACTTAACGATGCATTTATTTAAAGTCTATAGAGTTGTTGATGGCTTGAGAGTGGACTGGAATTGAATGCCAGTGCTCTGTAACTGTTGTAACGTTTGTTTGACTACTCCGACATACGCGGGCGGAACCATTGGTCCTAAACAGTGACACAAACGCACAGATCATTAGTTAACAAATGAAACCAATGCTAACAAGTGTTATACCAATGAATTTGTTGCCGTCATCAGTGCGGAGGCGAACGATTTGCAGTTTATGGGACTGTAGGTATGGAATGGCTTTCTCGAGCTCAGGCCATACGGTAAGTACGGCTCCGCTCAGAATACAGTAGTGGCGTTGCCTGAGACCAACCTCGCAGTTGGAGCGCTTGCACTTGCCGTGCAGTTGCCAATGCGTGCAGTTACTGACCGACATCTCGTACCTCTCCTTCCAAATGCTCTCCACTTCTTCAGACTTAGCTTTGGTTCCCTTCTCTCTGAGACCCGAAAGTGTCTCAGTTTTCGGCAATAATCCAGAGTTCGGTTTATAGATTCGGAAAATCTTCTTAAATGTGTTCCGATTAGTAGAGTCGGGAATCGCCAGAAACACATCCTTCTTATTCTAATCAATTCAATATTTGAGACAAATTCATAAATAATTGCAATTCTCTGTACTCTATATTATGTAAGTTATTGTGAGATCACTTACGGCAGTGGAGATGAAGAATCCGAAGTCTTTCGTGTCGTTCATATATTCAGAGATTGACTTATTAAAAGAGGTGAGCGCCTGATCCCAAGCCAACCCACGATCGATAGAAACTTTGTGTAATTGAATCTTAATGGCACCGGACGATGACTTGAGGAAATAGTCGGTCCCATCTATTCGCTGCACATTTCCCACATCAGAGCTTAAATCTGAAACACACAACGAGTATTAGTTTACGAAATAGTATAACAAACAGAAACAAGACATACCAATAATGCCAGAATCGTAACGACCGGTGCGTTTGGCGTCTTTTATCACAGCTTCCATCGTATCACTAAAATACTTAAACAACGAGTTCTGGAGCTCAACGTTTAAACCCAACAAACGATTCAGAAATTTAGTCATTTGTGAATAATCTGTAAGAAAATGAGTCAATTAACTATTCAATTAATGCAACCATTAATGAATGCAAACCTTTATCGAGTGTTGGAATCCCATTACCGTCCAAATGAATGAGTCCAACGCCTGCCAACCCTTGTCGGCAGTCATCAAAAAAGTCTCCGCTATAGCCCTCTGGAGGGCTCACCACAGGCTCTTCGAGCTTAACGATAGATTTCATGATTATCTCGAGAGCCAGTCGTCCGTATCGGTTGTCTATGTTATATTGGCTCAGATCTCGAGTCTCAGCCGCACGTCGATCGCCGTGAGTGAGAGCGCCCAGACTTTCCAGACGTTTGGCTACTATAGACGCAAACCTCTTCTCTCCCGCAAGTTCTGAGATAAGGAACACATACTCGGGTGCACTCGTCTGGTTGGAGCGGTGGGTGCGACCAAACTGTTGAATGGCTCTGTCGGCACTCCAGGGCAGCTCAACAGTGATGTGAACCCTTCGCCACTTGTTTTTAGCCCTTTTGTCCGAATGCAAGGATATGCCAGAACTGGCCGCCTCTGAGATGATGGCCACCCGTTTCTCGTCGTCCATAAACCGTTGCTTTTCAACCAAATTAAGCATTTCTAATGAGACGTCGTTCTCAGATCTGGTTTCGTATTGTATGCCGTCTTCTGTGCTCACAATCCGACCCTTCCTTCCGGTCATTTCCGCCACATTGTCGGGTCCGCCCAACTCATCAATCAACTCGTCTAATGTATTGGCCGGCAGTTTGTCGCCAATTCTCTCCAATTGTTCCAACAATTCGTCTCTCATTTTGGCGCAATAGTCTCCCGCGTCTTCTGACTTGAAGTTAACGTTCAGTTCCTTTATTTGGTCCTCAATTTTAGGCCTCTTTTTCTTTAGTTTCTTCACTTTTACGGGTTTTTTAACTTTTTTAGATTTTTTAGGCTTTTTTGGTTTACTATTGAGAAAAATATCGAGAAAATTAGACTTTCGTTTCCGACTCTTATTGTCCGAGAGGTCGTCTCCACTGAAGTCCTCGTCTGAAAGACTTAAATCGTCATCACTTTCATCATCACTGTCTGAATCATTCAAATCGCTATCACTTTGATTGTCGCTCTCAGACGAGGAATCATCGCTCGAGTGACTCTTCGCTCTACTCGACGACGGCATCGAGTTATTGCTGACGGCGGCCACGATCTCGTCCTTTGAATTACGTTTTAAAGTAATACCTAAATCGTCGAAAAAACTGGTGTCGCGGCCCAGAAGTCGCAACAACTTCTTCCTATTGGGCGCCGGGAAGTGCTTCTCAATCAGCGACTGAAAAACAGCTCTAAAAACAGACTCATCGTTAAAATCATATAAAACATAAAATCAAAATTCTTATCATTACTTCGACGTCGAGACAAAGTCATTGAGTTCACCGCCATTCTCTTCGAGTTGTTCCAGAGTGCGGGCCTCACCGGTTGACTGGAGACCAATCACAACGGATTTGTTGTCGCGCAGCGCTTCTTTCACGAAACTGACGGCAAACTTCACTTTGGATGCGATGCACAGGTATTTAAAGAAGCGCTGATGGGATGCCCAGAATTGAGTCCAAATAGTCTTCTTGATTCCGTTGTCACTCTCCATGAGTTCCAACGCTTTGTCAAACTTGAGTTTCGCACTGACCCACAGATCCGTGCATTTGTTGTATAATTTGATGAACTCTTTGCTGAGCGGCACCTCTTCGATGCGGAACTGGACGCCTTGAAAGCTGAGCTGTCGGGCCATATACATGCCCCGCATCTTAATGTCAATGGCAACCAATTCCATGGCACCCACACCTCTCTTCTCAACCGTTGACACAAATTGTCCAAAATCTTCAAACGGAGTTCCTTTACCCCACACACCTAACCGAGTCATATAACCCATGTTTTTTGGTTCCGAAGCACCGGTAGCTGACGCGTACACTATTCTCGCTTTTGGCAATTTATTTTGCAGTTCCAGTACTGCGAGACCTGTTTTCGTAGGCTTTCCAGAGCCAGAAGAGGGGAACAAATTCTTTGCTTTATGGCACTCATCGAACACAATGACTCCCTCGAAGTCTTCGCCACACCATTGGACGAGTTGACCGAAACGACTGCTATATTTGCCGGAAACTGTTGTCGATTCACTGATTAATGAGCTATAAGTGGCAAAAATGACTCCGCGTTTCACGTTATCGTTCTCTTGAGAGTGTAATTTATAGCCGTATTTAAACTGAAACACAAAACTCAATGTCAGTATACCTCTGGGAAATAAAACTTCAAAACTCATTACTTTATTGAGTAGAAAGACTTCTAGTTTATTGGCGCCGATGTCGTAGAGATCCCTTTCGGCGTCGTATTTAAGATCAGTGCTAACGCTCAGCCAAACCGATCGCTTCCGTCCCTTCAAGTAGTTTTCGTATATAATGCCGGCTATTGTGCGTCCCTTTCCCACACCGGCGCCGTCGCCCACCAAAAAGCCAGCTCTGGAGCCGTCGGCGAGGAAGTTGTCGTGTTGTTGTGACGCATAGATTATGGACTCCAACTGAAGGGCCGACAGCTTTCCCTCGTCTATCACCTCTTCGGGTATATTAAGCCTATAGTAGACGTCTGGCGGCAAAACACTGGACAGCGACGCCGTCTCCACCACAGGATCCGGATGTTTGATACCAATCCGCACTGTTATGGACACAACGTTTGAGACATTCATATATCAAACAGCGTTTCACTAATCCATACGTTTCGATGGCATGTAATCATTGAATGTGTGAACGATTGCCAACTCTTCCTCTTCGGCGTCCAGTTTCTCCTCTTCGCTCCAATCGGCTCCAAGTGGTGGCACTTGCGGTGCATTCCTCTTAAGTAATGATAGGTTTTGATTGTTTTGTGGTAAGAATGAAACCGATGGAACCATTGGCGGCGCGAATCTGGCGGTCGCCGTCTGAACGGGAAAATTGATGTCAAAAGTCTGCGTTTTGGCGGCGTTTGGGTTCGTCAGCGAGTAAGTGGTGACTGAGATCTTGTTGCCGTTTTTGTTCATCATATGGTTCCCATAGAAGGCCTGAATGGGTGTCTGCAATGTAGGCCACAACTCGTGAGTCTAACAAATGGCACAGTCGTTGCCATTCATACATACCTTAACCACATTGTTGTTGTTGTGGTGAAGGACTGGAAGTCTTGGCGCCTCTTCGGGTATCACCTGTTAATCGAGGCATTAGTGAACAAATTGGCGGACAATTGGTGGTCAAGTGGTGACATACCTGAGCGGTGAGGTCGTTGAGGTCGAGCCCGGACTCGTCCAACGCGGCCGACAGTAAGTCCATTGCAATGGCTTTGAATCAAAATATTGGGTTTCCTTTGCTATCGTATATCAAAACATTTGCGCAAATCATTGGTATTTGAGACACAGTTTGACGCAATGAATGGCTGCACTAATTGTCGGCAAAGCGTGTGATCGATGAACACATGAATCGCATGAAGTCAACGACCGATGAGTGAAATGCGCGAAACAATTCACTCTATTTTGTGGTCAAATGTTTGAATGCAAACCAATCGTACGAATCATTTGACGAAATGCTGGGACTGTTTGTGCAGTCAATGCGTGCAATACTAGAGCTTTTATAGCATAGCGATGGCTCACAAACACTGTGACGCCCCGTCTGTGGGGAGGGCTGAGTGTTGAGGGAAGGGCTGCCCATTCGCTGACAACCATTGCGTCACTCAATGTTCGCTGCATTTGTCACACAATTGTACTGTTGTTTTCAATTGGCTGCACAAACACGTGGGGGGCGTACTGTCAGTGCGTTTGGGTTACACTCACTTTTACACTCAAAACTTGAATCAAAATTTTTTTACTGTTAGTGCAACTTGAGTGCAAAAGTGTCAAGTACAAATAGTGTAAAACAAGTTCACCTGATCACGTTGTGATGACCATGCTCATTTGGTGATGTGTCCACTACATTAAAGACCCAGCGGTTTGTGAGTAAAATGTTTGACATTTTTATTACAAGCAATGAAATCACAATTACTTTTTGAATACAACTCCTCTATCGGTATATAAACTATCGGTAAATATACTTATTAATAGAGTTTACGGTTAAGTAAAACTAAAAATTAAATGCTTTTTAAATACAATATACAATAATTAATACGAAAATAAGTGTAAAAAGTTGTATAAATCGGACGAAAAGCATATAATTGTAGATAAAAAGTCGACTCAATATATAAAATCTAAGAGAATATGATTTCTTGTGACTAAATGTGTTAACAATGGATGCATGACTTGACTGATGATTGTCTACCAACCGGCCGAAGCACCGGCCAAATGGTAGTGCTGTTTGCGAAGGGCAGCCAACTTGAGGCGCTCCTTCTCTAACGCGTTCTCCAGCTCCAGAACCTTCACCTGACTGTCCATCTCTGCAAACATAATACATAATCACATGACATATACGGCACAGACATGTATAACACGAGTGTTTACCCAATCGTTTCGCCTGATGTAACGTTAGTTTAGAGAAATCCAAGTCATCTGAAAGTAGAGACAAACCACTCGTTTAATGATTGCGTGAATTGAATGCAAACAATGAGACAATACCTGCGTCTTCGACCCGTTGCGAGCACTTCTTCGTGACGGCCACCACATTGCCGGTCGCCTCAGACACCACTTTCGACGACTTGGAAAGTTTACTCAACTTAACGCTCGCGGGCTCGGCCTTCACTCTGGAGGCCACCACCAACTGAGCGCTGGCGCCCGCGATCTCCTGCGAGGCGGCGATGAGTTCTTCAAACTTTCCCGACCCTAAGATCACTTTGTCGGCCGAATCGCTGTTCAATGCATTTCATTGTTAGCTAATTGTTTGCGTAATTGAATAATTATTTTGTTAACCAATCACTTACACAAGTAGTTTGGCGTCAGCGGCCACTACTTTGGCTGCGGATATCAAACCTTCAGTCCATCTGTGGTTTCTTTGATAGAATTCCGTCATCGATGACGAGCCCTATTCACAGAATTCACACATTTATGAGTTCATCCATATCTAGTGGTGTTGTGTAATAAATGCTAATTATAATAAAACTGACCCTTCCTTGTGATACGATCTCCTTCTGGAGTTCTTTGGCGTCGTGTATGAGTTGTTTGATTGCATTCATGAGATGAGTACAGGCGTCCAAAATCTGTCCGTTCACTTCCAGTTTGATTCCCGTGTCCTTTCTCTTCGCTAATTCCAATATTTGCTATCATTTATAGCAAACAAACATTAAAATAATGTTTTAAAGCATAGAGGGTGAGGGCATACCTCAATCCTAAGGGCCGCATCATTGATAGCTCTGTCCATTTCACTCATTTCATCCATTAATTGCTTTTCCAAGTCTTTGCTCTTATCCAGTAATTCGGGAATAATTAACACATTCATTGCAATCAATTTATTCAAACATGATTTCAATGAAATGAATGTATTTGAGTCGTGAAACTTGTTTTTAATATTTTGACTCATTTTCAGAGACCAATCCACCAGTTCTTTGCAGTTATTCAGAAGTTCTGAAAACAGTATTCATTATTTTGATAAGACATTAAAAACCTAAACATTAATTTACGATTTATTATAAAGCGAGAGAATTGTAGTTTTGAAAGGCAATGCAATTGCTTTAAATTGATATGAATTTAAAGATTACAAACCGTGTCCGCGATCTATGTTAGGAACAGTCAAATACGTGGTTTTGCCACAATTGACGGCATAACACAATTGCACGAAATAATCCAAAACTGCGGTCACGAGTGCTTCGATCGATGGATTCGTTGCAATTCGTTTCGACGATTCCTCCAATGAATCCAAGTTTACATTCAATTCGTTCAGTTGAGTGAAGAAGTATTCTGAACAATGCATTCAATTATAATGTTTACAAATATGGCAGCAAATATCACTCGGAATATATACCGGGAGAACAGTTGACAATAACAGAGCTGTTCTGAACGCCTTCATTCTTAGTCTTTTGTGCAATTCTTTGCAATCCGTTTATAATGAGTCCTTTATAGCCATTATAATGGTTAGCAATTATCTAAAATACACTGAAATGTTTGTAACTCACCCAACAGCTCCCATTCCCGATCCACAAGTTGTCGCTTATAGCCCTCAATCTCTTGCGTGTATTTCTTAATTAGATTATCATTGGCTTCAATTCGGAGTTTGAGTTGTTTATAGTCAGCACTCATTGAATTAAAATCGGCTTCTTTTCTCATTTGTTCCCTCAGCTGTCCCTCCATTGTCTTTAACATAGGGTTAGTTCATTAAAATGTATTCTACTCATGAGAACCACACACAAAATGCTTACAATTTTCATGTTTTGAGAGACACTAAGTTCTGTTTGTGCGGCCAATAGTAGTCTATCGATCTCTGCTTTCTATTGAATTTATAAAATTTATATTTCAACACAAAAACATTAAGTGGTTAAACAACGCTTACATTTCTCAGGAGTTCAATGTGTTCCGATCGAAGTTTGTTATAAATATCTTTCATTTTGTTGTATTTATCGGCCACTTTAGCCACAGTTTCCGAATCATTGCTACCCTTTTGTCTCTCGAGTTCTTTGAGTGCTTCGATCTCCTTCTCCAGACTCTGGGCTTTAGCGCATTCCAACTCAGCTATGGATCGCTTCAAGTTCTCAATCATGTGTACGTCCTGTCCGTTACAATTGGTATCACTTATTATTACACTTCTGATGCCTGACCGCGAACTACATGACACTCACCTGAACCCTCGTCTGTTGCATCTCGACCTCCAGCTCTTCAATACGAGACATTAGTCGTTGAATAATTCGATCCCTAAATGCAGAATATAGTAAATAACACATTCTTAAGCAATAAACAAATATAAATACTTTTCTTCGATAGCTTTTGTGGAAAATGAATCATTTTTGTGGTCATTATTTAGAGACCAAATGGAGTTGGAATCTTCAGACTTGTCATTCTTGAGATAATAAACAAATCAATAGTTGTTTCGCTTTTTAAGTTTCTAAGAGACTCACAGCTTCGGCAAATGACAGGTCAACCAAATTCATGTCAATTTGGTCCACTTCTGGTGATTCGGGCTCTTGTGGAACGACACAAATAGGTGTCACATGACTATTGAGGTCCGATTGGATCAGAAAATTCGGCGGATCCTAAGAGGTATTATCCGTTAGAAAATAAATGAATTTCTAAAATCCTATTAAAAGGCTCACATCCGGAAGAAGCGGCACTTGAATCAGATTTTTAAAGTACTGCAGGTTTTTGGAGTTTAAGTAGAATGACTTAAGACTATATCAGTGAACCACACAAACAATACAAAAACATTCATTAGTCTAACCATTAAATTGGTGCAAATATCGGTTATTTTCATTCAGATAATAATAATTACATTTTGAATTGATTAAGAAATCTATTTCTGTGTCCGTCTAATGTTCCGGAAGGCAGGGCTGGTATCAGACACGCAACACACGAATTAGTCATTTAATTACAAATGCAAATCAATGTTATATGAAATGATATATTGAATACAAACCGAAGTGTAGTTTGAATAGGAGTTTAACCGAGAAGTCGTATAATTGACTCGAATCTTGAATACATGGTATAAGTGGAGCCAAACGGCACTGTCCGGCGTTTGTCATCGAATTGGATCGACTCATATCCAGAGAACCAAACACTTGATTATAAAAGCATTCATTTTAATAATAGATTAGCTTTTTTTGTCAAAATATTTTTACCATTCGCCTGAAGACATAATATTTCGTCCATATAGTCAAACACTTGACAGCATAACTCGAAACTATAAACGGATAAAAGTGTTAAGATTTTGCTTTCATTATTGCAAAAGTTGTTCACTAACTAAAAATTGACATCATTTTCACCGATGGCTTCGAGTTCTGCGTCCGAAACCAATAAATTTCCGGGAAATCGTTGGTTCTGTGGGTCGAGAATAAAATAATTGATATTATTCTGTATATAAGTAATGCTTAAACCAGTCATACATTGGCGTGAAAATCAATTTTTCTGACGAGTAAAGTGCAGTAATTCTGAATCAACTTTCCGTAGCCCTCCTTCAAGAGTCCCCACATTTTTCCCAAATCCATTAGCATTGGACGGAAGGGATAGGAATCGGGAATTGTCTGCAAATTAAATAATTTGTTGAAATGAAATGTCAATCAATTTTTAAAACAAATACCTTTCGATAGCCTTCTCTTAACAGCTTATGTAAGACGTGACAGAATTTCCAGCAAACGATCGGATTTTCCTGAAGCTGTAGATTACGGGAAACACTCCAAAATAGGTGGGCGTTCTTGTTCTGGAAGGTGCCCATCAGGATAGCTGTTAGGAGCACAGGAATACATTGTTTTTTAGTGACCAGGCTCATTATTGTGGGTCAATTCAATGTTGAACTTACTTCTCATGTGTTTCTCCTTAACAGGACTCTCATGATTGTTAATCGCCTTCGAGATACTCGACAACTGAATGCAAACATGATTTTAAAACTCATTAATTATTGTCATTAAAAAGTTAAAAGTTTAGTCATATAAACGTGTAATGTATATTTATAATATAATTTTGTTTATTTATAGAGTTTATCAATTAGTTAGCGAGTTATGAATCATAGCATTGATGTGTTGTTCAATGAATGAAACCCTTGTAGTGTTTGGCAATAATATAACAGTAACTGAATACTCATGTCATGAATATTATCCATTCATTCATGTATTATCTTACACTGAAATTAGCGGTAAATTCTCTACACATAATTCGCCGATAATAACAGTTAATGAAAGCACAAGTTATTTATTATATACACTATTTTGTAAATAACAAAACCAATGCAGATATAACTATATGTATCTATTCCTGCAGATGTCAAACATTAATAGTTTAATTACTTGCGATTCAATTACAGTGTAATTAAATGAAACACATTTAGACAATGATAAGAGTGAGTGGGAGGTGTGGTGACCTGGCTCATTGGGCCATGGTTGCCTGGCTGACTGACCTGTGAGTTCTCGAGTTTCTCCCTCTCGACGTCCAAACTGGTGCCCCGATTGCGGGCATTGAGTCCTTTCTGGATATGGGAGGTGTGGTGACCTGGCTCATTGGGCCATGGTTGCCTGGCTGACTGACCTGTGAGTTCTCGAGTTTCTCCCTCTCGACGTCCAAACTGGTGCCCCGATTGCGGGCATTGAGTCCCTTCTGGATATACGTTGACATTTGGGCCACAAATCAGTGTTTCATACAAACAATTAGTGCAATAATATGGCAGTCAATGAGTGTGTGTTGTGTCGGCGTTTGTGGCAATATATCACTCAAACAAAGCAATGTCTTATCGCTAATGGCTTTAATGATAAACCGATTGCTGATAAGAGCCCTTCAATTGATTGTTCAGAAAAAATAATACATTCTTTTCATTCACTAAACAATTATTGATTTTCATTGTATGTCAATAGCGTAAGCAATGAAAACGTGTGTAAAATGTAAAAAACTTGCAAAACTAAATATAAAATGAGATAAACATGAAATAAATATACAATTATAAATATAAACTAGGTGCGAGTGTGAATGTCAATCCAATTAATGATTCAAATAGTGAGTGAATTGTGAAGTTTTCATAGACTACACATACAACACAATCAAAACATTAATCAATTGACACATAACCGTAATATTGACACCAAATATCGTAAACGTCTCACAAATAGCTCGCATTTCAATCCCTTTCATGTATTTTACAAATACTTTGAATCCGTATATATGGACGTTATTTGCGCCCAAAAATACACTGAAAACAAATGACAACACGTATTGCGAAATGAGGTACAGTTGTGAGCGAAACAGTGAGCACTGGCTTAACGTTACATAAGACTGAATGGGGTGTTGAGGGCCCGTGTGTTGTGACATATAGTGGACATCATTGATAGCGAACTCATTGAACGCTTGAATACATGGATTAATTGGTGACAGTGTTTGGCACACAATAGGCTTTAGTGGCGATTATGACACAATTAATGCAATCATGCATTGCATGCGACTGTCTGTGCATTCATTGACACGTTTGACACGATTTCATGTGTTTTGGCATTCAATGCAATATTCATGAAGCCATTGAAACCAATGTTTGCATTAATGAGTGAATGAGTGCATCGGCGGTGAAGTGGAGGTCGTGTCCATGTATTCAACGAACTCTCAATTAGTGCCACAATTGTCGCCAATGAGTGACTCGACGCCACTGAGTGACCACCAGTTGAACAAAGAGCTGTTCACCGCCTGCAAGAACGGCGACGCCATCCGAGTCCGCAAACTCATCAACGCATCCAATGTCAACATCAGAGACACTTCCGGACGAAAGTCGACGCCTCTTCACTTCGCGTCCGGTTTTGGTATGCATTACACGAATCCATTCATTCATTGGATACCCGTTTCTAAGACATTGTTTTGTACGCAACGATAGGTCGCAAAGATATTGTCGAGTATTTGTTGGGATTGAAGGCCAATGTCTCGGCTGAAGGTATGAGTGAATCAATTGAACAGACATTGAATATATCGGTATTCATATTACAGATGACGGAGGCCTTCAACCCCTTCACAACGCCTCCAGTTTTGGTATTCATTTCATGGCTCGTGTGTTGAGTCCGATTGTCAACTAATGTCTGTGTCCTTCAGGTCACGCAGAAGTGGTGCAGTTGTTGCTGAGGAGTGGGGCCGACCCTAACGCCAAAGACAACTGGCATTTCACGCCACTCATGGAGGCGGCCATCAAAGCCAAGATCGAGGTCTGTCTGGTATTGCTTCAGAACAGCGCCGACCCAAACATCACGAACGCTGACGGAAAGTCGGCCATCGATTTGGCGGATCCGTCGGTGAAGAGTGTTCTCACCGGAGAGTACAAGAAGGAGGAGCTGTTAGAGTCGGCCCGTAATGGCAATGAAGAGAAACTCATGTCGTTGTTGACGCCTTTGAATGTGAACTGTCAGGCCAGCGATGGGCGCAAGTCTTCGTTACTCCATTTGGCCAGTGGTTACAATCGGGTGAATGTCGTCAAACTGCTTCTCACTCGAGGGGCCAACTGTCACGCCCAGGACAAGGGAGGCTTAGGTATGACTATCTAGATGGGCGCAAGTCTTCGTTACTCCATTTGGCCAGTGGTTACAATCGGGTGAATGTCGTCAAACTGCTTCTCACTCGAGGGGCCAACTGTCACGCCCAGGACAAGGGAGGCTTAGGTATGACTATCTCACCCCTACCCCTGACCTTATATTGAGCACATAAATCAAATGTCTGTCTACTTTACCTCCAGTGCCCCTCCATAACAGTAGTTCTTACGGCCACTTCGAAGTGTGTGATATACTCATTAAGGCCGGCGCCAGTGTCTCGGCTACAGATCTCTGGCAATTCACTCCATTACATGAGGTATTGATTATTTTACAGTCAAAATAAAATTATCGTAACTTTATTAACATTATTGACATTTGAATTCAACGGAAAGGCTGCATCGAAAATGCGGGTCGAGGTGTGTTCGCTGCTGTTAAGCCATGGCGCTGACCCTTACCTACAGAACTGTCACGGTATGTACTGTCTGTGAAATGTTTGGTTTGAAATAATTGAACGATTGCTTCATTGATAGGTAAGAGCGCCATAGATATCGCACCGTCGGCTGAATTACAGGAACGCGTCGCTTATGAATATAAGGGTCACTATCTTCTGGAGGCTATACTTCAGGGAGAAGTGACTAAAGTTAAGAAATACTTGACGCCAGAAATGGCTAACTTTAAGCACCCGTTTACCGGCGATTCGCCCCTCCATTGTGTGGTTCTCTGCGCGCACTCTAAACGCAAACAAATTTGCGATCTTTTGATCCGAAAGAACGCCAATTTAAACGAGAAAAACAAAGACTTCTTATCACCGCTTCATTTGGCTGCAGACAACTCGAAGTTCGATGTCTTGGAACTGTTGCTCAAAAACGGCGCTAAAGTTAACATTTTGGACGCCTTGGGACAGACGGCTCTACACCGATGCGCCCGAGACGGCAATGTGGGCGCCGCACAGATACTGTTGTCATACGGCGCCGACACCTCAATCGTTAGTATACAGGGCTATAGTGCGGAAAAGTTGGCCAAAGCTAACGTTCAGAAACTGTTGGCAAACCATCGGTTGACCTCAACTGGAGATACAGAGTATAAGCTGTTGGAAGCGTCGAAAATTGGTGACCTGGATGTTGTGAAAGCCATACTCAACACATACCCACATCTCGTGAACTGTCGCGACCTCGACGGCCGACAGTCGACGCCAATTCATTTCGCTGCGGGTTATAATCGCCTGAATTGTGTGGAATTCCTTCTCTCGCGAAACGCCGACGTCTCGGCCAAAGACAAGGGAGGGTTAGCGCCACTGCATAACGCGTGCAGTTATGGACACCTGGAAGTGGCCGAACTGCTCATCAAACACAAGGCTAATGTGAACGCAACAGATCTCTGGAAGTTTACGCCATTACACGAGGCGTCAGCCAAAGGCAAGATTGAAATCGTGAAACTCCTGCTCATGAATGGCGCCGACAAAGACAAGAAGAATAGAGACGGCAATCGAGCCATCGATTTGGTGAAGGAGACCGATCAGGACATACTGGACCTGCTTATGGGTGAGGCGGCCATCTTAGACGCGGCCAAAAAGGGTGATCTCAATCGATTGGTGAAGTTAGTGACCGCTGAGACCGTCAATTGTCGCGACTCTTCGGGCCGACACTCGAGTCCTCTGCATCTGGCGGCCGGTTATAACAACATAGAGTGCACGCAATTCCTCATCGAAAAGGGCGCAGATGTGAACAGTACTGATAAGGTTTGCTCTCATTTCTTGCCAAAGATAACAATTACCAATTACCCTGAACCCATTCACTCAGTCAACAATTATTATATTTGCTTTCATACAAAGGGTGGACTCATTCCCCTGCATAACAGCGCATCTTATGGTCACTTAGATATCGCCGCTTTGCTCATAAAATATAACACTTCAGTCAATGCCACCGATCGCTGGGGCTTTACACCACTGCATGAGGTTTGCTGAATATATTTTGTATCATTTCCAGGGCTTTGTTTGTTTTATAGAGTGCTATAAATCATGAGAATATATACAGAATTATAGAATTACACTGTAATTGCAGTGCAAATAGTTGTATAGAATTTTGCAGCGATTGTTAAGATATCTATTAATGCATTCATAGGCGGCTCAGAAGTCACGGACACAGGTCTGTGCACTACTCTTAGCGCACGGCTCCGACCCTTTCCTTAAGAATCACGAGTCGCAGACACCTCTCGATTTGGCGACCGCTGATGACGTCAAATGTCTTTTGATGGACGCAATGGCGCCAAACTCGCCGATAGGTCTCTCGTCTTCAATGCTATCCTTGACTTCGAACCGCAAATCCATTGCTTCGAGTTCTCCACAAACGGAACAGAAAAGCAATTCTGCCGGCAATGCAAACCTCAGCACCACTTTAGACACGGTTTCGCCACAAAATTCATTGAATGTCATGCATTCGGACGAGACTATCATTCCGTCGGCACTGACTCTACTGCTGTCCCAACGCAACAGTGATCACGTGAACGGAGACTCTGCGAGCGGTCAGTGCGCTGACGGAACTTCCAAGAAGTCGAGCGCCCACTCCATCACCAATTATTTGCCACCTCTCAGCTACCCGTCCATTAATATGACCACATTTCTCAGTGGTTTAGGATTAGACCATTTGTCCGAACTGTTCGTTAGGGAACAGATCTCTTATGACATCCTGTCAGAGATGGGTCACGAAGAGCTCAAACAGATTGGTGTCAATGCTTATGGACACAGACATCGACTCCTGAAAGGCATTGAAAAAGTATTGCTATCAACACATTCCAGTGCTGCTCAGCATTCCGTACCATTGAGTTCGGGAACAGTTATGACTGACTTGACTCCAAACGACAATGAGTTCAAAGCAGTGGAGGACGAGATGCAGACCTCCATCCGCGAGCATAAAGACAACGGCCACTCGGGAGGGGTTTTCAATCGCTATAATATCATCAAAATCCAGAGAATCAGTAACAGAAAGCTGTGGCAAAGGTATTGTCACCGAAGGAAAGAGATCTTAGAGGAGAACCACGACTACGCCAACGAACGCATGCTTTTCCACGGCTCACCCTTTCTGAACGCTATCATTCAGAAGGGCTTCGACGAGAGGCACGCCTACATCGGCGGGATGTTCGGCGCCGGCATTTATTTCGCTGAGAATAGCTCTAAAAGCAATCAATATGTTTATGGGATAGGAGGCGGAACGGGATGTCCTCAGCATAAGGAGCGCTCGTGTTATACGTGTCGCCGACAACTACTCCTATGTCGGGTAGCGTTGGGTAAATCATTCTTCCAGTTCAGCGCCTTAAAGATGGCGCACTCACCTCCCGGTCACCACTCCATTATCGGTATGTCATATGCAGTGTATTATAGTGTCTATAATGGGGTCCATGTGATGACAGGTCGTCCCAGTGGTGGTGGACTCACTTATCCTGAATATGTGATATATAGAGGAGAGCAGGTAATGACAGGCCTATGATTGCCACTAATGATTGCGTGTCTAATGAGAGTATTTATTTGAAGGCATACCCCGAATATGTGATAACATATCAGATCGTCAAACCAGATCTACAGACGTCTCAATCGTCTTCCTTTTATTCGTGATTTCATTTTTGAAGTAAATATTTATTAATTTTTCATATTTATTATATAAAATCATAACAAACTCATTATTTATCATTTAAAACTCCTTTTTTACTGTAAACACCAAATCATTTCACCAAATGTGCAGTAATTGCCTTCAGTTTAATCATTAATTTTTATTTAATTTATTTTATAAACAATTTGTATATATATATAATATATTGAGACAATGTTTGTATAAATAAAAAGAAATTAGTGAATAATTTGGGAATAAATAATTTAATCGCATATTCGTTATACATTCATATCATTCAGATTGAAACTAAAGTCAGACTCACTGTTAACTGTTATTACACTTAAATACAAACAATTTACTGATTGATTGCCATATAATAAGAGAAATAAGAGATCAATATATCATAAATTATTATTAAAAAGTATTACAATTCAATTATATTTAAGTTTACTTTTTATCAAATAAATCATAATTTTCAATATTTTATATATAATATAAACCTTAAATATATTTACTGTTAGTGTATAACAAAAATCGATAAAAAGCACATAAAATACATTATAATTACTAAAACTCATGAGAATTACAATTTAGAAGTGTTTTTGACATGAATTTAGTTCGTGTTTTGGAGCTGAAGACGGTTTTTGATTTTGACAGACATTTGAGTGCATTATAAAAGTAGACAATTGTCTTCTCATATTAACCTCTAATGTACTGACAATCACAGGAAGAGGACAGGTATTCAGTGGCGAGACTATAGACTAGAGGAGCGTTTGACATGAGCTCATACTTAAGCACTAAAAGCCAACAAATTTTAGAGTGGATTGCAGTACACGTTCACTATATGTATGGCATCTATACCTTTGATTACATAATAGACTGTAAAATAGGGTTTTGTTTATCGTTAATAATATACAGTATTTATAATTGCGAGAGATATACAGATATTTATATATATACGACAGACATCTGACAATAATATCACAAAATATTTGAATATCATATGAAAAGCAAAATTAGATCGAATCCAATGCAAGTCTGCTATGATTTTGATATAATGCTTGAAAGCATATGAATTATTAATAGTTAGTATGGATTTAAATAAGTTTCATATCATATACAGTAAGTTGGGTATAGCTTAGCGTACACTATACCAGTCATTCAGTTATTATTATTATAGGCACAGAGAGAAGAGAAATCAATTAAACATTGGATTACATTAGAAATCAAATCCACTTAAATGAGCGCAAAATCGGGATCTATTTGCTGTGTTTTCCCATATCATACACACTATATAACTGTTTCGTAACTAACATTTTAATCCAAAGCTAAGTATTGGCAGAGAAATCATGAATTTGAAAACAGGTTCACTGAAAATGAATCGACTTTTTGTCGTCTCCTTATATAATATAATATAATGCAATGAATCTAATGATCAGATTTACAATATTTTCATATAAATAACTTTATGACACAAACTGAAAATCTATTGTTAATTGGATTGCGAAATGTAGTGAAATGAAACTGAAAATGATTTGATGCAATCGGTTGTGAAAATACTATAATATCTAACGGTTGTCTCGATTAAGAAATTGTGTTCTCATTAATGAAACCTTATATATATTGATAGTATTACAGGAGTTGTAATGTTTAGAATTTTGCTGAAATTTTAGATAATTTAGAGAGAAAGAGGACTATTATATTGAAGACAATGCATGTAATGATATAATAGAGTCCTTCAGACTCGCAATCTTATCAGTCTTTCAGTATCACAAGAATTAGCTGCAAATGTCTAATCAATTTAGCACTTAATAGAGCGCACAATAAAGCGTTCGTAATATACAACAGAGTAGACAATGAGTGGTAAGAGTGGACACAAGCGCTGGACAGCACTGGCCATCACTATCGGCGCATCTTCTCGTGATCCCAACCATTCTCTTTGATCATATGCGCCAACTCTATGATGTATTTCCCCTCCTTGTACTTCTGGGAAGACTCAAACGCGTGTTCCTATACATCAAGACATACCGTACTGTTACCAACAAAACCACAACACTATCACATCATACACTCCACACTTTACTGTACGAACACTCACTATCTCATCATTTCCTGACAAACAAGTCATATCCAAACCCCAATATATATCATATTTGCTCTAATATTCTAATAAATACTTTCATTTACAATGCGATTAACAACTTTTGTCATGTGTTTAACGCTTTTCAAACTCAATTCTCAACTCAAAAAACAAAACTTCCTTTTTTGCACAACTATTCGCTACATAAAAGGAAAATCGCATCCAATGTAGGTTTAAGTCATTTAACAACAAAATACAATAACAACAGTCCTAACGCTTTCATAAGTTTAATGAAATGCACTTTTTTCTTAAGCCATTCATTATTGAAACTAATGGTATAATTGAGAAATACATGGGGCATGGGATGCAAACGGGATGGCATTAAAATGCAACTCAAAAACGAACAAAAAGACTCATAAAAACCGTTGTCTTTTAATTGTAATCTGTATTCATATAAAAAACTAATGTCTTATGTAATTATATCAAAATGTTTAAAACAAAAAATAAACCCAAAGTTCAATCATTGGCTAAAAAGATGCAAAACAAGTAATAATTGTTTAGCGTTTTAAATGAATTCATTATATTTTCATGTAATTAAAAGAAAATAAAAAACTTTTATCTAATGTTTGTAACTGTAATAGTAATTGAATGTAAACTTCACAGTCGTTTCAGACGCAGTATAGTATAGGATGAGCTAAATATGCATTGCTTTGAAAGTTGTTTTGCCTCAATGTTTACGTTTGTCTCTCATATGATGTGATCATATGATTGGTTTATGCTATGCCTTACACTATCTCTCAATACACCAAACAATCCCCAAATGATTGCAAGCAGTGAACAGAATATGGAAAACCCGATCACTATATAGGCATCTCAGGGGCACAGCATGCATGCAATGGCACAGACACTAAGACATAAGCAACAGGGGATGACTGATCCCGTGCTCAAGACTCACATATTTCCAGCCGAGGGTCGTCTTACAGCACTCGCAGTAAATGTCTGCCACGGCGTGCAGTCCCGTCAACAGCACCCTCTCCTCAGCCGTACCGCACCCGACGTTAACCCTAAACAACAATACATACCATGAGGTGAGTGGTCGAGTGGTCACCTAAGATGGCACCGACACTTACACTGAGTTGAAGAGGTAGGCGCGGCCCTGACTGCCCTGAAAGGACTGAAACAAATGGCAACAATGGGTTAGCTGTGGACCATCAGGCCATCAGATGGTGGACTTGCCTTTGAGATGAGTTCGTCGTGATTGGCGAGATGTGCTCTGCAGTGGATGCAGCTGTAGGTGCGATGACATGAGGGCAGGTATGCCTGAAACGTCTTCACCATATCGACAGTCGATGCAACAGTTGATACAAATGCAGACAAACAGTCGTTTTGGAGACAAAGAGTTTGCTCCTCACATGAGATCACATGAGTTGGACATAAGATTGCAAACAAAGGGGTCCATCAATGCATTCACACACGGCTTGTGGTGCTATGATTGTCCACTCGTTCACATTATCACTGCTCAAGAGAGACAAATGGATTGGTGGGCCAAGTGCGAGACAGACACAGCAATCAATTCATTGATAGTGAACAACAAAGTAGTCATCAAAACGCCATTAAATGCAGAGTTTGTTGTGTTTTGTGTTATGTTTGGTTTCACTTCAATGTTATTCAATGCATAACAGACTCCACTGAACACTATAAACACTGCAAACACTGAACGCCAATCATTCAATGCATTCAATGACTGACAATAACATTGGCCTCAACTCCATATAGTGGTAGTACTGTAGTCGTACTGTACCACTGGTACAACAGTAAAGTGGTATTAATACTACAGAGTAATACAATCATTGCATAACAGCGCCCATAGACCAGTGCGACACCTATTGGCACAGAATAGGCACTCAATGTATACAACAGTGTCAGCGGTTGAGTCTATGCAACACTAGTGTCGCTGTAATCGGTGTCCAAACGGCGCCATGAAAGCGTTTATTGCGTTTAAAAGTCTAGCAAAACACTCACATCTGGGACTTTGACAACATTTACAACACTAACACTACTGTAACTCGCATTCAACACATTGAACGCACGATTGCATCAAATGTATTGCATAGCATCAATAATACACTACTGTAGCGAGCATTGTGAACAAGGTCTCTTCACGCACATTTATCATGCACTGCATATCTTAACTAATTTAACCACCATTTCCTTCATCATAACACAAATGCATACTTATTTCACTTATTTCTTTGGTCGACAAGTTTTTGTTCATAACTTTTGCCATCCCTTTCCCATTCATAACCGTTTGCCTTTTCGGTCCAAACGTGACTAAAGTTATCGCAAAACATGAGAAAAACACTTTTTTGTGTAAAATTTTTGGTGATAGACTATTCCCAGTGATAAAAGTTTTGCCAAGTTATGAATAGCTGTATTATTAAATTTAATAATCATATGTAGTGATGAGTTTTTTGCTTGCAAACTTGTGGGAAAGTTATTTTATAATCATATGTTTTAGCATATTTTAATATAATCTAAATTTTTTATATGACAAATTATTAGAAACACTTGGTTTCCTTAATATTTTCTGAATAATATAACTGTAATACAGTGTATAATCAATTCATATTCATTGAACATTTTTAACTGTATGTTTGGCAGTTGTTTGAATAAATTATTGCGAGAGAGAGAGAGCGAGAGAGAGAGAGAGAGAGAGCGAGAGAGAGAGAGAGAGAGAATTGATGTAATATTACGTGAAGTTGCAAAAGAAGACAAGAATTGATGAAAAAGATGTGAAAAACTGGTTTCGATTGAAAGAAGTTGTTATGAAATAAAGTTAACGTTATTTATATGAGAAGTGATTGAAGGGAAAGCCAACGGAAAGGGAAAACGAGAGCCAAAACAAACTGAATATCAATATTACAGTGAATTTCATTGAGTGGTTGAGTGTTGACTGCAATGACATTAAGACAGTAATCAACAAATGATAACATTATTGTCATTATTAGCGATAATTTCATGGATTTGTGTCCAACTCTTTGCACACTAATAATACACCAGTTGTTTGCATTTGGGCTGTAATTGTGCTGATCGTATAGCAATTGATTTGAATGAATGGTTGAGTTTTGAGTGATGAAAGTGTTTGTGATTGTCACTCAAAAGTAGGACAAATGATTGGCATTTCATTGAGCACTCATTCAGCTATTAATTGCCTAATTGTGTGACTATATTAGTGTGTGTTATGTGTATTCATCGGTTGACTGTATGTTTGTGATGAGTATATATGATAAGCAAGTATATGGACCTGGATCATCATCATCATCGTACCCATAAACCCATAACACAGTAACAGTTATATACAGCGTATATGACATTTGGTTACTGTTATACCATTAATAACCGTATAATATGTGATTGTGTATGAAGTGTACAAATATAGTGGTAATTGTGTTGCAATTCAATTGAATATAACTTATGATATGTAATAATATAGAGATTGAATGCGTTATCATTTGTGTGATAAATAACTCACTGTTTCAATGGTTTGCGATAAATACTGATTACTCTTGGCGATAAGTATTCATATTTCACTGCAAAGGCTAACATTTACATTGAAACTCAGTGTTTGTGACAAATATTTCACTGTATCGTCGATTGGACTCATATTTGCAATCGAGTGATACATTTGGTTTGTCTCGCGATTAAAACTCAATGTATTTGTGACTCATATTCACTGATTAATTGTTAATAATGTTTAATAGATGTTTAATATAGAGATGTTTGTTATTAATATATACGCGAATACCGATAGCAATGTATACTAATAAGTCATTTGACAAGCAAAATGAAACTGTTGGTGTGAGACAGGTCCCAGATCACATTGCTGATATCAACCATAAGTCAGACAATATATCAGAACTCAATGGTCGGCCAACCTGTGAGTCGTCGGGAGTCAAGGTTTTAACGCCTTTTGTGGGCAACGGATGCGCTAAGAGTGAAGGCAATTGTGACACTTTGAGTGCAATGGTTTCCACATCTTTTATGGGCAACGGATGCGCTGCCAATGGAGACACCAGTGAAGTAAACGGCGAGACTTCAGGCGAAATGGTTACCAAACATTTGGTGACCAATGGGTGCGATCACAGTGACGATAGCTTTGGGTCCTCGGGAGCAAAGGTTACGACGCCTTTTGTGGGAAACGGATGCGACAACAGTGAAGATACCCCTGAAGACAACTGCGAGTCTTCGAGAACAAAAATTTCGACACATCTGGTGACCAACGGATGCGATACCAATGGAGACGGAGAGGACACCACTGATTCGTCTGCAGCAGAGGCTTTGACACCATTTGTGGGCAACGGATTCGCTATCAATGAAGACGACTACGAATCTTCAGGAGAAAAGGATTCAACGCCTTTGTTGGTCAATGGAAGCGATCGCAACGACGACACCCCTCAACACCACTGCGCGTCTTCGGAAGCAGAGGCTTCAACACCAGTGGTGACCAACGGATGCGTTATAAATGAAAATATATCCGAAGAAAACTGCGATCCTTTGGAAGAAAAGATTTCGCCTCCTTTTGTAGGCAACGGATGTCATACCAATGATAACAGTGAAGATACCACTGACCCTTCGGGAGCAATAGTTTCGCCATCTTTAGTGATCAACGGATGCCCAACCAGTGAAGACACCTGTGATTCTCGGGGAACAACGGTTCCGACTCCTGTCTTGCGGAACGGCTGCGCCTCACCTGTAATATGTGAAGAAACGAGTGGAACTCCTAAAACACTTCCAAATGGATTGAATGGTGTAATTAAAAATCACAACAACTCTATTGATAGTCATGTCTGTCCGGACACCTCCTCCTTGCCATCGATGGAACCTATGTCTCAGTCATTGCCATTCCCACAACTCTCAGGAGAGACCGTTATGTTCAATGGGACGACCACTGATGGCAACCTAATTGTCACTAATTATCGTCTATTTGTGTCATATCTGAACCCTAAAGACAGACTTCCCATAAGTTTGCCGATCGGAACGATAGAGACAATCGAGTTGAGAGATCTCTTCTATTTATACATCTATACAAAACACGTCCGATCCTTCATTATCTCATTCGCGTCGGGAGACGACTGTACCCTTTGGTACAAACGGCTCATCGATGTCTGCACACTGCAGTCTAAACTCGAGAATCTATTCTGTTTTAAGTACTTCGACGGATCCAAAGCGGATCACACGTCTGATGTGTTGGTTGACCACAAAAACAACACCTGTTCCGAGACTCTCTCCGAAGAATTGACGCGAATGTCTTTCGATGACAATGTTTGGAGAATAAGTGATATAAACAAAGAATTCAAGTTATGTTCGTCTTATCCGCGAAATCTAGTTGTGCCTCAAAGTGTAAGCGACAGTGATTTGGAAGCTGTGGCTAACTTTCGCTACTCTCGAAGAATTCCGACCGTTGTTTGGAGACATCGTAAGAACGGATGTGTTATCGCCCGCAGCAGTCAGCCGGAAGTGGGTTGGCTCGGGTGGCGTAACAATCACGACGAGCTCCTCCTCCACGCCATCGTCAAGTCCTGCAGTTCTAGTGATACGCCCGATAAGAAGCTACTGATTCTTGACGCTCGCAGTTATACCGCAGCCGTCGCTAATAGAGCCAAAGGCGGTGGCTGTGAGTGCCCTGAATACTACCTGAGCTGCGAAGTCCAGTTCATGAGTTTGGCTAACATTCACAGCATCCGTAAAAGCTTTCACTCTCTCCGTTATATCTGTGAGTCACCGGCGGATCAGTTCAAGTGAGTCTCCTTTTGTCATAAACACTAAATATGTATTCATTTTGACTCATTTGATTCAATATGAATGTTACCCACAGTTGGCTAACCCTTCTGGACAACACTAAATGGTTGCACAACATATCGGTACTCATGAAGTCAGCAATAATTGTGGTCAACGCTATTGATGTGGAGGAGAGACCCGTTTTAGTGCACTGTTCCGACGGTTGGGACCGAACGCCTCAAATCGTGGCTTTGGCTGAACTAATGTTGGATCCCTTCTACCGATCGATCGACGGCTTCAAAGTGCTCATCGAAAGGGAATGGATTCAATTCGGACACAAATTCGCCGACCGGTGCGGTAACGGAGCCTTTTCTGACGATATCAACGAGAGGTGTCCTGTGTTTCTCCAATGGCTCGACTGTGTTCACCAATTAGTCCGACAATTCCCCTCTAGTTTTGAATTCAACATTAATTTCCTGGTATTTATTGAGTGGACTTTTTGCGGTCATTAATGTTGTGTTTAATTTGTAAACTGTAACCCATTTTCCAGATTACACTCATTCAACACACATATTCATCAATGTTTGGGACTTTTATCTGCAATAATATGCGGGAAAGAGATGACCACCAAATCAATGAACTCACGTATTCTGTTTGGTCTTACTTTCATAACAGACGACAACATTATGTTAACTATATATATGAGCCCAAAGACCAGGTATATATCGATACGAATATGCAGTATACGAAACATTTGTATTGGATTTGAATTGTATTAATTTGAATGATTAAAACAGGTATTGAGGCCGTCGTGCAAAGCCAAAGACATTATATTCTGGAGTGATGTCTACTCAGTAGACTGACTGTCCCCCACATATGCCCCGGGCATTGATGGCGTATTCGATGCGCGCACACCAGTTATAAACTCAAATTAATTTACAGATAAATTATAAATAAAGACTTACTTTTTTAATTTAATTTTTCTAATCTATATTTTTTAATACACTTATTACTAATAAGTTATTACCTAATAATATACAGTATATACGCTTTAATTGAATGAATAAAGTAAGCATAAATAGGTTTGCAAAACATATGCTTATATTAATTTATTAATAGTTGAGTGAACAAGGTTCAATTTGGTGGTGCGTTTTGCTAGTTTGCGGTTTAAAGGTTAAAGGGCTTACGGTTAGGAAACGGGTGTTATTGAACCGATGTTTGTCTGTCTTAAGTCTAAAGTGGAAATCTCTGTCATCGCATAAGATTGAGTTCACTATATGTAAAAAAGTTAAGTTCACTATAAGTAAAAAAGTTAAGTTCACTATAAGTAAAAAAGTTAAGTTCACATCACAATCATAAATGATCAGTGATTTGTAAACTTTCAAACTAATAATACTGTAATAAAAAAGTTCAAAGTTATGTACAGTAGGGCCCCTACTGTAGGGGTGTATTGGTAGCTCACACGCCCACCTATTTGTCAGTTTTCACATCACAATCATATGTTTGAAAGAGTTGTTCATAAATGCCGTCAACGAAACAACGCGTTCACAAAACCCTGCATTGAATGCAATGTTAAAGTGAAGGACTCGTTGACTGAATGAGAGACCCTTTGACTCGTACGACGTGTTTGTGATTCAGCGCTGTTTCGCACTTCAATCGATCGCTTCCTCGAGTCGCCGGTCGTTATCATTGGACTTCTTGTGCGGACACCGAGTGGACACACCTCTCACACCACCCAAACCTCCCAATCGCGAGGCAATGCTTCCCCTATCGCTGCTGAGGACGGCTCAGAACCACCCGATGTTAGTGGAGCTGAAGAATGGCGAGACATATAACGGACATCTCGTGAGTTGTGACAATTGGATGAATATAAACCTCCGGGAAGTGATCTGCACCTCAAGAGATGGCGACCGGTTCTGGCGAATGCCGGAGTGCTATATCCGGGGCTCAAACATCAAGTACTTGCGAATACCGGACGAAGTGATCGATTTGGTGCGCGAAGAGGTGAAGCAATCGAGACGCGGAGGAATGGCTCAGAGGGGCGGACGCGGCGGTCAACGCAACGTCGGACTCGGACCGCGACCTCAGGGTCCGGGCGGTCGCGGCAGAGGCGGACCACCGAAGCCCAGAAACAACTGATCCCACACTCGATGTCGCCATTAGTTTTCTCAATCATTTTTATCACTGATTTGTTTTTGTCTTTAACTGAAACCATTGTATCACATGATTATCGATCAGTTTTTTTTGATAGAAACTTTTAATTGTAATAATAAATACTTTTAAATGATTACAAAAACAGCACTAAATGTTAGAATCCTTTCGGAGACCACGGAGTCTTTTGCTTCATTTTCCTCAACTCATAGCAAACTAAGGCATCGCTCGACTGGAACCGCAATCCCTCTAAACCGATCACTCCGTCGAACCGGAGGCCGCACTCGACGTCCTTTTTGACGGACTCCACCTCATCCTTGATGTGTCTCATTGACGACACTGTCAGCCCATTGCTCACCTCCTGTCCCCCTCGCACTACTCGGTACAGACAGTTGGACTTCTTGAGGACCCCTTTGACGCAGCGAACGCCGGCCACCGGTATCTTCTTGTTCCTGTCGTTGACAATGAACTCTTGCTGAACCATCGCTTCGCCGAACACCACTTCCTCGTCGATTAGCGGCAATCGATCGCTGATTTCCTTTTTCAAGTCGTCCACCAAATGGTAGATCACATTAAACCGTTTGATACAAACGTCCAGATCTTTGGCCAATTTGTTGACCTGAGGGCTGACGACATTCACGTTGAAGGAGTAGATGACAGTCCGCGCGAAACAGGCGCCCAATTCCACCTCATTCTCAGTGATGGCTCCGACACCATAATGTAATAAACGGAGTTTAGCCTCACTTTTGTCGTTGGGATACGACTCGAAGAGGTTGAGCAACACCTCAAGACTACCGGTGACGTCGCACTTGACCACCACATTGAGTACGTTCTCCTCTTCGGGGCTCAACATCTTTTCTCGCGGACCGCTGGCCTTCTTCCGCTTCCTCCTAATGCCCGCAGATCTCAATGCAATCAACTCTTCTTTGTATGTCTTCAGGTGTTCCTCGAGTTTCTTCTGCGCTGCGTTTGCATCCATTTCCGCCTTAACCCGTCTTTCCCTCGCTTTCACTGAACCCATGATCTCTTTCACCTGTTTCTCGGACTCCAATTGCCAGACATTGTCGCCCGCGTCCGGCAAACTCTCTTCTCGCCAACCAATCACTTGCACGGGATATCCCGGTCCACACTTCTGCACCACATTTCCCCACTCGTCAAACATTGCCCTCACTTTTGCCCACGAGTTCTGACCGGCGATTATAAGGTCACCCTTTTTGAGAGTTCCGTTTTTGACTAAAACCGAAGCAGTCTTTCCCTTCTTCGGGTCCACACTTGACTCGAGGACCACTGCCTCAACACTTCCGTCGGTATAAGCTTTGAGTTCAAGCGTTTCGGCCAACGCTAGGATCGCTTCCTTCAACTCCTCGACTCCGATGCCCTTTAAAGCACTCATTCTTATGGACTGAATGTCTCCGCCGTCTTCTTCTAAGACTATTCCCTGAGCTCTCAATCCTGTCTTCAAAAGTTGCAAATCTGTGTTCAAATTCACACTTTTGTCCACTTTATTGATGGCAACAATAATGGGAACATTGGATGTGTTGGCGAACGATATCGACTCAATCGTCTGCTCCATCACACCGTCATCGGTGGCCACGACTAACACCACAATATCTGTGATATTAGCGCCGCGTTCTCTCATAGCGCTGAATGCCTTGTGTCCCGGAGTGTCCAGAAATGTCACCAACTCTTTGGTTTTGGGCTTATTTTGCTGATCCAAAGACACGACAAACGCGCCGATGTGTTGAGTGATGCCTCCAAACTCCTGCTTCACGAGCTCACTGTTGCGCAAAGTGTCCAGAAGTGTGGTCTTCCCGTGATCGACATGACCCATGATTGTCACGATAGGCACCCGACTCACCCGTTCCCTCCCTGTCCTCAACACAGTCTTCATTTGTTGATCGAAATCAAAGTCAACTTTTTTCTGATGGTAAGGGTTTTGTATGAAAATGGGTTTTTTGCCGAAGAACTTAACGATCCGCGAGATCTCTCTGTTGTCGTTCAAGTACTGGATCTTCAAAGTCCTCATCGTTTCTCTCAACTCATTCATCGACACATTCATAGAGTCCGCCAATTGGTCGGCAGTTATCTGATCCCAAACATCCACTGTCTGTGCGTTTCGTTTGTTTAACTCAATCCGCATCTTCTGCTCATTGATTGACAAACTCTTGTAGTTATTGGACAGACATCTCAGTTGATGATAACGGTTGGTGTCCACAGGGATCAGCATTGGTTTCAACCAAACCATACACTGGTTGGTCATCACTTGACAGACACTCCGTGCCATCAAATAAGTACTCAATATCTTCATTGTCTGTCAAATGTGTTGTTTAAGACATTGAAATGTATGAATAGATTGTGGACCAATTGAATGCATGTGTGACCACTGATCATACAAATGGTAAACATTTGGCGAAGAACTTTGTTTACGAAACCATATGTAAGTCACGTGTTGTTAGTGTTGAGCCATTCGTTGACGCAATGCTCGCATGAGTTCATCACTCACTTCATTGCCATCACTTGATCCAAACCATTGACATCATCCATAGTATGCATCATATTTTCAAAGTAACGATCATTACATGAATAGTATTATTGAGAAAACAGTAACATTTGAGTTCATAAATTCAAATCAAACTTTTTATAAGTAACTCATGTTTTAGAAGTCAAATATACTGTAGAACTACAGCTATTGGGAGAGTAGACTACTGTACCACTCATTAATACAGATATACCGGTGCTGTAGTCCTGTACAACCTTTTGAAGGGAACTCCACTTCTAAACCTCATTCTTAGGCGCAGTCCGTCCACAATGTCTGTCCACTCGATGGCACAACTGATCCACGAATCGAAGATCAAGTCTTAAGAGGAGCTCCAGAAGTGAATGCATTTAAACACAAATTATTAAAAATTCAAATAAAAAACTATATTTTGTATTTCATAAGTGAACTAAACTTTTATTACAACTTTTTATAACTCATTCAATGTATTCGTGCATTAATTCACTCATTATTGATTCAATGGATTGAAATTCTTAAAGAATTGAATGGCTTTTCATTAAATGATTTATATTTTCCTATAATTAATGCGATTTCAATGCAAATCATAGCAAACAATGGATTTTAAAAACTCGAAAAAAAATTTTTAATAATGGTTTCGAAAATTCGTGAAAATCTTTGGTGTAATCGTTTGGTTACCACTAATTCTATCAAATTTTTTCCATTTCCAGCTCTTCATCACCACAACTGATCCCAAATGCATTGCATTAATCATTTCCTGTCGCATCAACAGACTATAAGCGTCTACCTCGGGATCGTTTGGTTACCACTAATTCTATCAAATTTTTTCCATTTCCAGCTCTTCATCACCACAACTGATCCCAAATGCATTGCATTAATCATTTCCTGTCGCATCAACAGACTATAAGCGTCTACCTCGGGATCCATCTGTTAGATCGACACAACTATAACCACAACACCAATCATCCGCAGCAGAGTCACCATACAATAGACCGGCGGTTGAGTCCACACCAACACCTCAAAGTCGGCTCATATTCAAAACCGGACTCAGGATATGGGTCGCCAAAGCACACCCCGAGCGGCCAGAGGGTGGAAGGTTTGGGTGACAACACGCGGACAAAGGTCCCGTTCACATGATCCCAACCACTGGTCATTGCATACATTCTTCTCATTCATCCATTTATTAGCGAATGCCGACCTTAACGAAAAGGGCATCTTCTCGGATGTCTGCATGAGTTTAGGTATGTCTTGAAGTCTTAAATTGAGGTTTCCTTTGATTTAATTGTTTTTTCTGTCTCTAAAAAGCTGTCAAATATTGTGTTGCATTGGATTTCGCGAAGACTGGAATCGTTGAGCCAATTGAGTGGAAAGAGAAACCAAAACTATATCCCGATTTCATGGAGAAGTTTATCGATAAGACATATCCATCGCAACGAGTTTTGGGTCGACTTTTCCGCCAGTGCTGTGCCTTTGAGAACAGTATTCAATCGGAAATCAAATACCAAATTAACGCCAAACCCAACCCTAAACTCATACTAAATGGTAAACAGTGAATGGCTGTGTCTTAAGACGTGATTCAATTGATAACTTATGATCTATTGATAGGTTGGCAGAGATATGAAGAGTAGGCGACAAACGCTTTTGTTTTATATAGAGATAAAGTGAAGTATCTGTTGAATCGGTTCGGAGTGTCCAATGAGGCCGTCCTCCTGAGCGGCGCCTACACGCAAATCAATCGCTATATGAGCGGTAGGACTGAAATGAATGGTATTCACGAACTCTTGGAGTCATTGGTGGCCGAAGTGTTCAACCAATTTAGGCAACGATTCAGAGCGGAGTCGGCCTTTGATTCGCCAGAAGAGAGGCTGAGGGCCAGCGCCTGGTATTTGGTTACCTATAGACTCAACCAAAACCAGACGCAGAAGTTCTTCGGCTTCCCGTTCACCATAAGCGACGAGTTGTGCAAAATTGTGGACACGAGTAGCCATCAGGTGACGGCTTCATCCGTCAGGGATCAGCCGTCGGCTGTAAGTGTATCGCAAACTCACCGCACATTCAGACGGCCGCCGATCGACAAGACTTATGGCTATAATTGACTCACAATTTATCACTAATTTTATTATCAATTTTCTCTCAGGATTTGCACATAAAAATTGTGTCCAATTTGTTATATACAGTACTTATAGTTAAATGTATTTTAAATAATCTATTATTTATTTGTAACATATTTTCACAGCTTTTATATGAATTTGTTATTAGAAAAAATTACATTAAGCTATTTATTAAACGATTTTAAACTTACAAAAAATTAGTGATTTTTATTATCATACATAGCATCTCATCGGTTGTAAAAGTTTCACAAGAATCGGGTTTCAGATTCTGGTGATGATTATAACTTACATCCCCTTACATAGAGAAGCTGACAATGTGTTCAATTTTTTAAGTTTTTCAACACATTTTCAGTGAAAAAGTGATAAACAATTCATTCATTGCTTTCATTGACTCTTAACTGTAAATGCAATTCAAATGTCTTTTATTAAACACTATTTGCGACCAAAACCTCTTCAGTCGAAGAGAGAAGCGTTGGCTCTCTTGAGACCACAAATCAAATCAATTTCTTCATATCGTTTTACGACTCGAAGGACCGCTATAGAGATGTCTGTGTTTATGGGAACAACAAAAGCAATCTTCACGTCAACCAGATTTAGAGGACAACCACTCGGGAAGACTCGGGAAGTCATACTTAGAGCCAAAGTATGGCTGTATTTGATTTTTATGCTTTAGAAAAAGTTGTATTGACACAAAAAGTTTGTTAAATAGGAGTTTATCTTAAGATTTAATGTATTTTTATAAATAAAATGATTTTAAATGAATGAATGAATTATTTATTTCATATTTGATTACAATTTGGTAAACAATTAGTGAATGAAAGGCACAGACATTGCATTCAATACACAATTCAATGCAATAATAGATTTGTGTTTCAAATGAATTCTAAAAGTTTTGAAAACTTTTTTTTGAACAATATTTGCAATATTTTCACGAATTTTCTTTGGGGCGCGAAATCAAACTCTTTTGACACGATTTCGAAATCTTCTTCCAGTTCTCACTGACTATCACCACAAATGACTTCCAAGACATCGCCGAAAGTCGGCTCATGTGCTCAAACGGTGTGCGCCCCGCCTCCAGAGTCACATGAGTCGCCCCCGGAAGCCCCGCTCGACCAGGGGGTGGAAGGGGTAGGAGAGGTCACCACCAGACCATCGGTGGTGTTACCGATAACCCTAAACACCAGTCCAATCACTGGAACCACTGGTCAATCTGACTCCTCGTCAATAAGGAGGCGACCGTTAGGGTTGGCTAACCAGGACCTCAACGGATCCGTATCTACTGGGACTCCAATCACTGGAACCACTTCGCCGACGACTCGCCCAACACCAGAGTCCAGGCGTTTGAGTTCAACGATTGGTCCGACGATTAACTACATCTCCATCGCAGACGACGACAACAACGGCTGTTGTAACGGGTGTTGGTCTTGGATTAAGCCATGCTTTTGGTTACCAATCAGACGAATCCCAAAGAGGTTCCGAAAGTGGCGTCAAAATAGACATAAAGACTGTGAGGACCGCATGAGAGCACTGAAAACACCAACACCTGAGCCCACAGTCGACAGCCTTGAGAACAAACTATCAGTTCAGACGACCGGCGACTCGATAACAACTCTTGAGATGAGCCGACAGAACGACTTCACCCATGAAGTAGTGTCCGTAGAGATACTGCCTATGAGTCCGACTCAAGACAACAGCACCGGTAGTCGAGACAATACTTCTAATCCGACGCCTGATAGCGGTGTTGAGCTCTTGAGTGTAACAGCCGTCGAGTTCCCGACACACAGTCCCACAGAACAGGTCTTTCCGGGCGTTCATAACCTGGAGAACAGTGTTGAAGACAACGGCAGACCTTCAGAAGATGTCGTCTTAATCGACACATTCTTCTATGATATCGTCTCCAGAATTGACACTGAAGTCAATGCAACACATCTTAGGGCACAAGTCTTGGCGGACACTCAGGGCTTAGGATGTGATGACCAGAAGGAGAGCTTCTCTTTCATTGAGAATAGAGTCGACACTCAATTCATGGCAACACATCTCTCGCCCAAAGTTTTGGCGAACTCTCCGGTGTCGGGATGTGTTGACTCACTCTTGCCATCGGTTGACAATAAAATGGTGCCAAAGAGGTGCGACTCAAGACTCGAGGCATTGGAAGACATATATCACGACTGTTTGGACACAGCTTCAGATCCAAAGAGTGAGTACTTTAGCCTTCAATACGTTAAGCCGAGTGTTGGACACAGAAATCAAAGCAATCATCACTTGAGTAGCACTCAGTCAGTCAGACATCTGACACCAGCACCGGTACCTCCTATGATAGCAGGACCGATACCTCCAATGATAACAGCACCGGTACCTCCTATGAGAAGAGCACGGGTACCTTTTGAGGCAACTCGTTATCTCGAAGAGTTAGAACTCGAGAGAAGTGCTGAAAGGGTTTTAATGGACCCAAAGATCACCCAAAGAGCCGACAAAGACTTCTTCGAGAAGGCGGTCATGAATTCAGTTCAGAGTCTTCACGCAAAGCAAGTCATCCGTTTCGATGCCCTCTTAGGCACCGGTGGGTTCGGTATAGTCTTGTCAGTGAAGACGAAAGGCATGAAAACCGTTGCCATAAAGTACTCCAAGGATTCA